GTGTTGCAGAAGTCTGAAGACAAGAATATGAGCTTATTAAGAAAACGTGAGGTGGCTTCTCTGCGCGTTACACCAGGTGCTCCTCGAGGGCAGGGCATCTCATCCACCTGCACGTGTCACCATGAGGAGCAAGCAGGTGGTGCTGAGTGATTGATGGCCGTGGCCAGTGTGGTTGAGTTTGGTAATGGAGATAAGTGTCCCAAAGAGGAGCAAGGAACTGGGTCTCTGGCTTGTACCCTGACTCATCTTGAACCTGGTATGTGACCATCAGTGAAACCTTCACCACCAGGTGCCAGGGGCCAGAGAGGTGTTCTGGGCCAGAGGTGGCAGGAAGTATTTAGGGGTGTTGGTTTTTAAGGTACAGAGTTGGTTGGGTGGGAAGTGCAAGAGACAGAACGTGGGTCTGGAAAGGACTGTCTTTCAGATCATTTCTCAGAAGAAGAAACTGCTGAACCAGACTTATGCTCTGGAAGTCTTAGCTCACAAGTAAATAATACAGAGCTCTCACTAATTGAACAAACACTGTGTGCTTGGCACTGGTCTAAGGTCCTTTCTCACACTCCTCACAACTCTGGAAGGGTACACTGCTGTTCCCCAACCCTGGCCAACTCGGAGAAAGGCGCTGAGTAGGTCCACCATTGCCTGAAGCCACACCATGTCCCAGGACCTTCCCGCTGGTGCACTGGTTCTTAAACCATGGTTCGCAGTGAACTTTTAGCCTCTAGTTTAAGATGTTTTTGGTTCTTTGTTAAATGACCTAATGTATCCAGAAATAAACTGGCACTCATTTTGTTTTTCTTGAACACTTGAACTTACTGCTGTTTCACTTAATAAATTACGGAGTAAGAAGAACCAAGTAGTAATAATTATTTATAGGGATTTACTACTTGAACAGTTTGTATTTAACATTCATTCGAATTATATTCTTTTTTTGTTGAGGGAAATATTTCTGAATATTGATAATACTGGCTGTTTACTGAGGTGGTTTCCCATATATTTTTTATATTTGATTATAGAAATACATTTTATATTTCTATAAAATATAAATGATACTCATATTTATCTACCCCATTTGAAGGGTTCTTGCTTAAAATGATGAACATCCTTGAGTTGGGTTAACTGACAGTTTTGTTCTCCCTAAAAATAGTTTTAGGTGTTGGAAATGATGTGACTTATTTAGGGCATTAGATCACAGCCCAGGTAGGCTTTCAGCAGACCTGCCTTATATTTTTAGTATAGGTTTCTCTACTTTTAATTGTTCTCAATATTTATTTATAACAATACCTATAAAATAATAGAATATCTTACATTAGAGAAAGCAACAGGCTGGCATTTTTTAAAAAATAATCAAAGACCTAGGTCAAAACTTAGCTTACCTCTTTTTAGTAGAAGATGGCACCTTTCAGCTAACAGCCTAAACATTACCGTGCTCAGTGTAAACCTGAGCCCCACTTTCCTTTAAAAGGGAAGGAAAGTTCTGCCTTAGAATGCCTGGGCACCCTGCATTCTGCCACATAATTTGGGCACCTGAGAACCCAACTGGCCTGCTAGTGGGTAATTCTTCAACACTCTGGTATGTTGTGCCATTGCCAAATAGACTGCAAGGGTCTGAAGAACAGGAAATAAGCTGCTGGGAGATAAGGTGGGCAGCTGCAAACCGTAGACGAGACAGGAAGCGAGAATACTAATAATCCAGGGAAATAGCATTAGCAGCTTGACTTTATTTTTAAACCCAGAATTGTTGGAAAGATCTTTTTTTCCCCTAATTTGGAGGTGCCACCCGCTTATTTAGTTTTATTCATTAGAACTCACGGCAAAGAAGTGTGTATGGGGACTACATTTCCATTTAAAGCTGCATCTCAGCTGGTCAGGAATTACAAAAGGATGCACTGAGTCTGTGAACTATTGTGTTACCCTACAACTACCACCGTATTTTCACAAGACCAGGAAATCTTTGACATTAGAAATAACTTTCAAATACTTCTTACCTCTGCTCTTTCGTATTTGTCATACTGTGATTATGCTGGCTGTTTTTATGAAGAAGAGGAATTTGATTATTCATGTGAATGGAATATGCAGCCCTACCTAGATGTTAAAGCAACAAGGCAAAAGTATAGAAAAGGTGACTAGCCTCCGTGCTCTCCAACATGCTGCCTCGCCATATTGGAATACCATTGTATGAGGAAGGTCATGGTAGATGAAGGGTCACTGTGTTAAGAAAGTTCAGAACTGATAAGAAGAAGTATCGTGGTATTTGTCGAATTCCATCCTATGGCGGTCGTTCTGGAGGCTGTCAGTGATTGTGGGCATACATACTGAACCTGTGGCTTTGGGGACTGCATGGTAGCAGCACGCACTTTTGTGGATTCCAAGGCCAGATCCTCACTGGGTTAGAAAGAACTTTATAAAGATGATATATTCACTGCATTTAAAAAGGCTTTTGTTGCTGTGTTGGTTTTACTCTTTTAAAAAATTAGATCAGTAATTTAGAGAATTTTAAAAACTAGACTTAGAAATATGAATCTGGATTTGCTGCCCCTCCATCCACTTGTGTCGAGGGCCCTCCTGGGTGTGTTCGTAACTCTCACTGCAGATAGAGCACGAGATTATGTCCGTTTGGTGGGCTGAGCTCTACAAGGACAGTATGTCTTAGCACCTAACACTCTGTAATAGGCAGGCTGGTGGTATTAGCAGTTGTTAAAAAGACTTGAAAATAATGTGCTTGAAATAATAGTTCTTAATAACATTTTATAGTTCAAAGATATTGCTGTATAAGAATCATAACTTCTAATTGTGTATTACTCTGGCACAGCGTATTCAAATCACTGTGTGTCGGTCGGTGTTCAGAGATGATCGTGACTCTGTCCCTTCCCTCACACAGCACAGCTCAGCAGGGAGGGGGCGTGTGTAGCAGCAGTTACCACCCACTCGGGGTGGGGGTGGAGGGGCACTTCGCGTGCAGAGCTGGGACTGAGCGAGGCAGACCTCTCAGCAGAGGGGCGGCTGGACGGAGTGCTGACAGGTGTCGGTGTCCGCATCTGTGGAAGTTGTCTTGGGCGTGGGAGCCACCAGCCAGGTTACATTTGAGTGGTGACTGCCGTGTCTCAAGATTTCAACCCCACAGCTCTCTGATTTTTGCATTGTTTTAAAGAACAGCTACAGTATTCTTACATATTAAGTGGGTAAGCATTCCCTAAGAAAATTTGAGGATTTTGTTACGCATCTTACAACTAATACTAATACCATTAGATGTGGCGGACCAAGGCTGGGCACTCTGGTGCCTTGAAAACAAACTTAAAGACCTAAAATCATGGTGCTCTTGGCACAGCTTTGAGAAATGGCTGGATTCCATGTGGGTCTGTGTTTTGGACATGCATGGGTGTGAGGAGGGGTCTGGTCTTTGTGGGTTCTTGACAGTCTGTCATTGTACAGTTGACCCTGGAACAACACAGGTTTGAACTGCATGGGTCTACTTGTAGGCGGGTTTTTTCCCAATAAATACCCTTATGTACTCAGCCCTCTGTGTCTCCCAGGTTTCGCATCCACGGATTCCAAAAACTACAGATACAGATGGCCATTGTATGCATTGATCTATGCCATTTTATATATTAAGGGGCCTTGGGCATCCATGGATTTGGTATTTATAGTGGCCCAGGAATAATTTTTGGGAAGTCAAAAGGGATAGGTGGATTTCTGACTCTGAGTGGGGTTGGTGTTCTTAGCACCCTCATTGTTCAAGGGTTAGCTTTGTAAGTTAGAATTGGAAGACCATTTGCACAGGTGCCACATGTTCACAGCGGTTTTTAGTTTATTAGGCACAAAGCCCTGGAAGGAGATGGGATTCAAAGGTTTTTTATGAATATTCGATGTGCTCTTGCTGCTTAAGGATAATCTGAGTTTGACAGACATATGTCAGTATATGTCCACATATCCGCGGATGTTCTGGCTCCCAGCTGGACTTTTCCCAAGAGCAAGGATGGCTCTTCTCCAGTTTCGTATTGGTCACAGCATCACACAGTATGAACCTATGTGTGAATTCAGTGTCTGACTGGAGGACTTAACATCATTTGGCATGATCACCAGCATGGGCCAGTCAGGTGACACTCCGGGAACGCACACTGCAGTGAATGCTGGGAGTTGGTTTGGGGGCCCTGCGCTCCCTTCAGAGTCCTGTGTCCTTAGAGGTGTGCCTGGGTTCTGCAAGGGCTGTCGTCAGGCATTTACCTAATCCGCAGACCACCTGCCAGAGGGCCTACCTTTTAGAGGAGGGAGTGATGGTTAAGAAAGATGAAAGTTACTATCCTGATTCAGAATCTTTCAAATTTAAAAATGAAATTTTATACTCTAACGTTTTGAAACATCATTTCTTCCTATTTCGTCTGTGGTAAATTCTATACACTTAAGATATTTTAAATGTGTATGCTTTCCAAATTGGCCATGTTTTAGATGGTGAACTGTTTGAAAATAAGTCTAGAAAAGATATGGAAAATTTCATGTTGGAAGGAAAATGAAATTAAATAGGCCTAATCCCTTCTTCCTTCTGTGCTAAGTAAGTAATACTCTGATTCAAATGAAAGACACAATAGATTTTGTGGAAAATGTTTTCTCATAACACGGGACTGGCAGATGAGAGATCCTTGCACTCGTGAGAGGCAAGGCTGGATTCTGACTGCCTTGCCTCGCACTCGTGAGAGGCAAGGCTGGATTCTGACTGCCTCAGGGCCTCTGGTTTTACAGGGATGGGCACTCTCCTCTGTACTTCACCGTTTGCTCAGGTGTCTGTCTGCTCTTTGCCAGGAAGCCTCTATGTGCGTCTGGTTCCCTGCAGCTGTGCCATGTGTGTGGGTTGTGCCCTGTCCTCTCCGCCGAGCTCCATATCCTTCCCCAGGCTTTTCTTGCGACCATGCATTCTGTATAGTCTGCAGTTTGATCTCTCCGTGGGCGTAATCCTGGCCCGCTGGCTCACTTCCTATGGTAACCATCTTCTTGGTTGTTTCTAGGTTGTGCTGGTGAGGTGGAATGAGCCATACCAGAAGCTGGCCACGTGTGATGCAGACGGAGGGATATTTGTGTGGATTCAGTATGAAGGAAGGTGGTCTGTGGAACTGGTCAATGACCGAGGGGCTCAGGTGAGTGGACCACAACCTCCTCCAGGGACAGGCTGCCAGAGAGACTGCACAGACCTCGAGTTCCAGAGCAAATGAGCACTCTTTCCAGAAGTAGGTGGATGAGAAATGAATGAGACTAGAACCCTGCTTTTCATGCTTCGTGAGTGTATTGCTGTAAAAAGAGAAAGATCAGACTTCCTTCTCCTCACCTGTGCTGCTGTTGTGGGGCTGCTCCAACTTTTAAAGCTTTAATTAAATCTGTGAAATCATTTTTATACTCAGCGTTGTGACTGCCTGTTAAATTGGGATCCTCTGAAGTACTTCTGACACATCACTTCTTGCTCCTTTTCACCAGGTATTTTCCCGGTGTTGTAATCTTCACAGTTCTCTCACAGGGAGCACACACAACTGCTCCTCACAACCCACTCACTGAGCCGAGGTTTTAACACTTTTTCCATCAGGTTTCAATTAGCGGGGCCACCTGTGGTCCTCCCTCAGCTCTTCCTTTCTGATAGGAGTTTGTCTGGCTCAGAGGAAAACAGTTGCTCCAGGGACGCCCTGCTGGGCTGTGCCATTCAGAAAACCGGCCTCCTGGGGTCTTCTGGCTGCCGGGCTGGCTCCGCTCTTCCTCCTCTGTGAGGATGGGCCGCCCCTCCTGTGCTTAAGTCCCAGCCCAGAGACTTAACCCAACCAGGGCTTCAGAAGGAGTCTGCAGGGACCTTAATTGATGAGGGGTTTCTCAGACTGTTCTCCTCTCCTGGGATGGCTTTCCTGTGACAGCCTTTCTATATTTCTGAGGAAAGGAGGATTCTCACCCTCTTCTGTCTGCTCTGTTGCTTAAATGAGCTACAAGCGTCCCCCATGTTTGAAAGGTAGAGATCAGTGCAGTGACAAAAAATTGCAAGGAGTGAAGATATATCATTAGCAGTTATTATCAGCAGAATGAGGATCTTTATGAGATGTCATCACAGAAGACAAACCTACTTCTGGGTAAAACTAGAATTTTCTTTTTTTGTGAGTTTACTTGGTAGGGTAAATGTAATGATTTTGACTGGTTCTGAGAAGGTCATATCAGTTTCCTGCATACCTCCACAAAGTGAAAAAGGAGGTAGAGCCCACCCACCCTGTGGCTACTGATTAGCCATTGACATAGAGCCACAGATGTGGAAATCGTCATGACCATGAGAAGTGCATGTCACGGGGGCGGGTGGGGGAGAGGGAGGCAGGGGCAGTCAAAAGCATGAGGCCTGGAGTCACACCACACAGGTCAAGAATCTCACTCAGTGACTTGTTAGTGGAATGTATTTCTCTATGCCTCAGTTTCCCCATTTGCAACATAGGGACTCTAATGGAACCTGCCTCAGAGGATCACTAGGACTAAATAAAACTGAATATGGAAAGTGCTTATAGCACGTCTGCAAATGAGAGCCCCCGTGAGTTGTTAGAGTATCTACAGAACCATGAGGCACTACTACCTCGTAGCACCCACGCACAGACCCTACCTGCCCTAGAATAGTAGCCACAGTGTCTTCACCAAAGACCAGCTTTAGGTTTTGCGGCAGCACCTCTTCATGGCATTCTGTAGGGTGGATGGAGACTTATCTGAATTTGCCCATAAGTGTCTCTATAGTACTCTAATTCTGTCTACCAAAATGTGAATGAACTCTTTTCCCTAGAAAGGCACAGTGGTCAGGTGAAATGTGTTTTCAATGGGATGGCAAGACATCTTTAAAGTGTTACCCAGAGAAATAAAGTGAAGGGGATCTAGGGATGCCCACTCGGTGCCTGGCTTTTTCATGTGTTATCTCTCAGTCTTCACAGGCACCCTTTTCAGAAGCTGTTTTTATTCTCAGTTAATGGGGGCCAAAAAACAGGTCAGGGAGGTTCAGTAACCCGCTAAAGCAAGAATTTGAACCCAGGTTTCAGTCCAAAACACTTGATCACACACACAATCTTACTCCCCAACAAGAAACTGTTCGCTCTATTATCTCTATTAGAAATGCGTGTATGCATGGTATATTGATAAGATGTATTGTTCCAAACTTCTTTTTTGAGCTAATAATACTGTCTAATTGGATTATTCCTGTATTGTGACTTCTCAAAGTCTTATTTAATTCTTTCAATTCTGAGGGTATATTTGGCATATCCCATATTCTAAGACACAGGCTTTAGGTGGGAGATGCCTGAGAGAGCTCCCTCCTGCTCCTCGTTGTTTCTCAAATGTGACCACAGTAGGGTGCCAGTCTGTGCACTTTTCCTCTGACGTGGGACATAATACCCAGGAAAGGTGCTTTCTGGCATCAGGGACAAAAGACCACTGAATCTGAAGAAACCTGACTCTTGATCAACAATACTTTTCAAGAAAGACCTTGATCAAAGGGGAGAGATGTGAAAATTAATAAGCAGAAACTTCACTTAAAATGGAGTTGAGAGGTTGAAAGAACTTTCACTCAGAGCTCACTTAATGCACAGGACTGACCCTACTGGAAAAAAGAGGTATCTGCATCTCTGACAGGAAGTGATCTTACCTGACTGTCAGCAGGAGGAAGGGAAGAGTCCTACTGGCCCTGGAACAGCTCAGCCAATGGGAGGCAGCCAGAGCTCAGCCCATGAGAAGTCACAATACTTGGAACTTCAGTTTCCTCCAATGGAATCTAAGTTTACAAGAGCCTCACCCCATTCTGAAGTCCATAAAAGAGCTGCCTTCCTCTCCTTGGTTTCTCCAGACCTGCGTGTTGCTCACCTCTAGACTGAGTGTAAGGAATTGCAATTCTTTGTTGTTCCAGGTAAACGTATCTGGCTGGCTGTTTGTTAAAGTTCAACATTACACAAAAGAGCTTAGGCTTCAGAACTGTTGGAGTCCAGCCTCAGCAGCCAAGTAGAGCCATCACCACATCTTTTCCTCCTGGCTGGCAGCCTGTATGAAGAGGGAGCCTTCTGTCACCTTTGTAGCACCTCTGTGGTCTCTGCCACCTCCATATTCCACAGCTTTGTTTGTCGTTTAGAGTTCGGTGCAAACAGGCATGTTAGAGAAGAGAAAGGAAGGATGAATTCAGACCTGGAAGTGAATGAGCTTATCTGGACCATAGAACATGGAAGCACCTAGAATCTCACAAATGCCTGTGCCTGCGAGTCCTGCCAAAGTAATCACTGTATCTTGTGATCTGACTCATTTTTTATATTGTTTTAATTGTGTTGAAGTCAGATCTTAATTTGAGTGAACATCCCATTCTGTTGGTGATGAATCAACTGGTTGAAGTCACAGTGACTCTGTACACCTGAAACAGTGTCTAGTGGGAAGAGAGACATTTTACTACTTAGAACAGGAATGTCCTTGAGATTTGCTTAGAGAAAAATAATACCTTTTAGAAGAAATGACAAGAGATCCTTGTTACATAGCGTTCCTTTCATTGAGACAAAGTAATTGAACATCTGGCAAAAACTAAGTCCCACTTTAACAATTTCTTTTTTAGGAAATATTGAGTCCTTTAGTTCAAAATTGAGTCTGGAACAGCGCATGCATAGTTCTGCAGTATTAGTCACCAAGGGTGGTCTGATAAAAAAGCTCCCTCAGGCTGCACTCAGCTTCCATGAACCCTTGTCCAGAGATGCTCTCTAGTGAGGCAGGAGAACTGCAGCCCTCTCAGCTGAAAGACAGCCAGTGGAAGGGGCTTGCTCCTTCCTGCCTTTACAGCAGTTGGTACTGAGTGTCCCGTGTTTCTTTTTCCAGTTGTCATACATTCTTATCACCCTGTACTGACCTGATTTAATAAATTAGTTCATGTAAACATCCTATGTTAGAATTTTTTGTGGGTGTGAGATTGGTTGTGTGTCGGACTATACATTTCAGCCCATTACTAAGATGCTTTTCCTTTTAGTACAAGTACTTTCCAAGGTAAACAGGTTAAAATGTATGTAAACAAGACCATTATTTTTACAAAATGAAAACTTCCAAATTTTATTGGAGAATTAATGTGTTTTAAGTTCTTAAGAAAAATGTCTCTAAAATATGTTTTAAGTTCTTAAGAAAAACTAGATAGTGTAATTTGTCAAAATATAAAATGGAAAAACCAAGATTTTGAATTTACCTAATGAACCTCTTTTCAGTCACTTTAAACCAGCTAGCAGTTCAAAAGCTATCTCACAAATCACTGCCATTGTCATGATGGAGGCATTGCTGATCACTCAGTGTAGACTCAGATCCCATGCTGGAAAACCAGCAAAAAGTTCATGTCCCTTTGATGTGTGTTTGTTTATTATACTATTATTTGAAATGTGATCTATCCAACTAATGTCACAAATTTTAAAGAAAAGTTGAACTTTTTAAGTATAAACAATGGTGAGCACTAGAAATACTTTTTTTTTTAGTTACAAAAATTGGAAAGAAATGGCAATATAAACTGAGAAAGTAACTTACAGTGATAAGAAACAGGACTAAGTACAAGAATAATTAGAATAAATATAAATGGACTAAATTCACAAATGAAAAGATAAAGCTTGACAGATTATATTTTTAAAAACATACCTGTAAGCTGTTACATACCACACCTAAAATTTAAATATGCAAGTTGAAAGTAAAAGGATGGAAAAGATATTTTGAGCAAATAGCAAGGAATAAAGAAAGCTGAAGTAGCTAAAATAGGCTTCAAAAAGTCAGAAAGCAGTATTTGGTTTATAGAGAATTACTAACCACATGATAAAAGCTGTGGTTTATGATATGGTTTTAAGTATGTGGTTTTAAATTATATGGTTTAAAAGTGTGGTTTTAAATATGTGTGCACCTACTAATAACAGCCTCAAAGTATATGAAGAAAACTGATAGAACTGAAAGGGAAATTTGATCAACTCATTGATGTACTAGGAGGTTTCAACAAAAAGACAAATCAGCAAAGGTGCAGAAGACCTGATGAACACAACAAGCTTGACTGATTGGATACATACACATTCTAAATCCACAAATTAGAGGACATACATTTTTCTCAACCACACAGAGAACATTTATAAAAATTGATGATGTTCTA